TTAATGAACACGATAGAACGAAGACCAAAGTTCGTTAAACAATATCTCACGTTTTTTATTCCGTTCGTTAAATTAAATTCAGCGACACACACACACACACACACACACACACACACACCACACACACACACACACACACCACACACACACACACACACACACTACAACAATACACTACACACACACACACACACACACACACTATACACACACACACACACTATACACATACACACACACTACACACACACACACACACACACACACACACACACACACACACACACACACACACACACACACACACACACACACACACACACACACACTACACACACACACACACACACCACACACACACACACACACACACACACACACACCCTAACTTATACTAATATTGCGAATTCTTATGTAATTTGTCTATTTTTATTTACATTATAAACGAAAGTGGTGTGTGTGTGTGTGTGTGTGTGTGTGTGTGTAGTGTGTGTGTGTGTAGTGTGTGTGTGTGTGTAGTGTGTGTAGTGTGTGTGTGTGTGTGTAGTGTGTAGTGTGTGTGTAGTGTGTGTGTGTGTATCGTCCGAGTGTGAGGGGTTAGGTTAGGTTAGGTTAGGTTAGGTTAAGGTTAGGTTAGGTTAGGTTTACTTTAGGTGAGTTAGGAAAACATATGAAAGATGCCAGACCATTGTTAACTTCCTGGAATGTTAACCTTTTTGTATAGTTAAATATGAACCCTAACTGTACACTGTTAAGGGGTCGCCTCTACAGTACAACAGTTAAGGGATCATTTCTCTTAAATTAAACGAGTGAAAAGTACCTCGCGTGACGTCAGCTAAGAGGGGAATTGAAAAGCTGCCAAAATCCTTTAAAACAAAATCTAATAATTCCAATTTACGTTCAAGAAAACCAAAACAAAAATGCATTAAGTAAATAACAAATTTGCATAAGTGAAGAACAATTACGTCAATGGTAATAAATCATGAATAAAAATCTATTTATTCTTTAATTAACTGGACGAATCATGGTCTAGGGGTGACGTAACGAGGCAAGTGTAGTCAGTCACCCACCAGCTGTCATAGGTAGTGTGTGCTCGAAGCTTACACTGTATTAACCTCATTAATTATTCTTAAGACATAATACACGGTTTAATATCTACACAAGGCCTCACAGTTATAAAAGATAATATAATGCTTCTAAAATATCAAACAATATGTAAAGATGTTTTGAGAAAATTCACAAATATATTGGAGAAAATAATAGTATTCGGGAGGGCATTTAGGGGCACACACACACCGAGCCATATTGCTAGGAAAAAATTCTACTCAATAATTCTCTAGTGGACAAAATTTTCCACTGGACAAAATTCAACTGGATAATTCCCCACTGGACAAAATAATTCGTACCGGACAAAATACCACCATCAGATTAATCTCATGGTACAGAACGCCAATCACTATAAGCTTCTACATCAACTAAACACGGCACTAAATCAGGGTTAAGTTAGGTTAGGTTAAGACACGGTTTTGGGGGGGTTCAATAAAGTGGCATCGACTTAACCTCTCCTCACCTACCCCAACCCTCACTAGCTCACCCCCAAACTCCCCTTACACCCCCTTAAGGACCCCCCACCCCCTGATATAGACGAGGTTCACCCCTACCATGACATTCACACAGTCACATCAACAAATGGAGTTCAACCTTTAGTGGATATCAGAATTTACATATTGTTGTGAATTTTCTGTTTTCCATTATTAAAAGTTTACCTCCCTCTTGTATAATGTATTTATTTATTTAATCGACAAATATATATATATATACGAATGTTGATTAAATGTTTATTTAACGTGTATCAAATGTTATACAGCTAACGTGTCTCATACTGGTCAGAATTAGTGAACATTTTTAACCCACGTTAAGTAAGAAAATATATATGGTGATCTTATGTTGTTATCTACCCCACGAACATAACACAAGTCTCACGTCACCACCAGAAATCAATGTAAACAGAGTAGTAGTAGTAGTAGTATTAGTAGTGGTGATAGTATTGTCGTGTGGGCCCGAGTAGTATTACGTACAGCTTGAAGCCTTCACTGCGTCACCATCACACAACACCACCTCCCACCACCACCACTGCTGTCCGCATTTCTAACCCCAAACTGCACACACACACACACACACACTACTTCACCACAGTCTCTATAAATCCTGATTTTTGTTTTTAAAGTTCACGGTTCACAGAAATATTAATAAATCACATTGACACGAGAGCCCGAGGCAGGAAGAGGTTAATATCAGAGTTGCGGAGACCAGGAGAACAGAGAGTGCGGGGCAGGAGCTTCAGCCGCCCTACCACCATCATACAAAAAATCTTTAAAACGCTAAGTCCCTGGCGAGTGAGTGCGTGGGTCCTCTCTACCTCACTGGGCCCATTTTCTGTCCCCTTTCACATCACTAAGATCAGTTATTTCGCTATCTGTCCGGGCTGTTATTCGTCACATTGGATCTCATCATGGTGGGGATGGCGTGGGCGCGCAAGTAGAGCAAAGGCGTGGGCTACAACTTGTACCCCGGGATGCTAGGTGCACACCCCGTGGAGGTCCCGCTACTACTGAAGCACGGGAAGCCGGCTAGACCCTCAACGCTGCACTAGGGTTGCCACACGCCTCATACCATCCAACTAATTTATTGATATTTTTTCCTCTCCCGTTAGCTTTTCTATAGTGGTTTTGCGGATAGCCAGCAAGGACAACGACGCGTTATTAGGAGGTGACGAAGAGGGTGTTGTTCAGGTGAGAGGAGGTGTGACGGGAGGAGGGGGGTGAAGAAAGAGAGGGAGAGAGAGGGGGGGCTGACTTCCTCCCAGCAAAGTAGCACCGTGTTAAGGCTCCACCAGACGCCTGCTGGCCCGTCATTCATACATAGCTGTGTATATCGCATGAGATGGGACGTATAGGTATGTATAGGTGTTTATGTCCGGGTGTTGATATATACAGGTATACGACCACGTATACTCATGAGCACTTAGGTATATTGGTGCACATAGATGTATATGAGCGTGTAGTGTTATACAGCATATGTGTACATGCATGTATGAAGGTATATACAGACACAGGAATGTACGTACTGTGCATACATAAGATTGGAGAGCGTTGTCAGCCAGCCTTTAATTGGTTGGAGGTCGTGACGTCATATTTCTTGAGCAGATTATGAGCCTAACCTAACCTAACCTCATAAAAAAAGAAAGAAAAAATATTCCCTTATATCACTGAAAAAACCTAGAATATAATTAAGTAATTCTCCTTCCCGACACCAAAATAAATATAATAATCTAATACATCTCAAACATACTTTATTATACAACTAAAAACAATATAAAAAATTAATAACTAATCTCAAATATGAAGGCAATTAAAAAAAAGGCATTATGTTGTAGAATAATGAGTAATACGGCATTAGTAAGTGAAACGTGGCAAGCTTTATCCGTAGAGTTTCATTACTGAGCCGCTCCCTCATAGAAAACGAACCCCATACCACAAAACGTAGGAATAACCAAAGTAAATTAATTATATATATATATATATTATTATTACATTTTCGTCAGTTTATGGAGGTTGTAAAGCTTGTTATATAGATTAATTTTATAACTTACTGGATTATAAATGTATAATTATAAGTAATTTACTATAAGAATGTAGATAAATTAAGAAATATTCTTCCATATTTCTGAAGACAAACTTGATATAGAAAAAACAGGATTTGTTTTATTTCATTATTCAACAGGAATAAATAATGACCTTTTCTACTCTATCGCCCGCCTCCTGCTTGCACTGGCAGTTACTTCATCATAGTAGGCGAATGTTTGCTTGACTTCTGCCTGTGGTGGTGAAGTTCTCGATGTGGCATCACCCTTACTACTACTTGTAACCAGCTGTACAGATCTTCTCTTTTTAATTGTTTATTGTCTCTTTTTTCATCGTCTCTTACCCCTGTCACCTTCTGCCTCCCCCTGATGTCATCCTTTTATCAATTCCCTCCTCTCTCTCCCTCTCTCTACTCGCCAAGGTCACAGGAGAAATTAGGTTAGGTTAGGTTAGGTCTTCACTTCTCTCTCTACGACACAGTTCCAATTCGCCTTTTTAAAGGAGTTTACTCGCTGTGATACACTTAAAAGTCCACTTATACCACACAGGCGCGGGGCAGTACTGTCAAAAGCCCACACGGTAACTCAACCCTTAAATAATGATAACGTATCTACTGAAGGCATAGTCACAGTGCATCTTCGACACCATATATCATAACTTTCTATTGGCACTTTAAATGTAGTAGTTTAGATGTGTTCTCACCTTAGCTATGAGACTCCGAGAGGGCGTATGTGTGGGTACTTGTCACACATCCAAACAATGTATCTTGGTCACATGGGTTTATGAGTAATCAGTCCGCTTATATGGGATACATACAATAACAGGTATTCATACATATAATTGTATAATTCTGTGCACCGTATAAAGTTCACACCAATTTCTCACAAAGTTCACACCAAAATAAGACAAACTGTGCTGAAATACTTACCATTATCAACCACATCAGAGAATGGCGGGAGATTACAATAACACAAATGGAAAAATTTACCTCCAGGAGTAACACCAGTGAATGATATTACCTTTACCACCACCATGAATGACTATATCTACCTCTGATAATTAAACCACTCTAAAAATGAATAAGCTTCCACACACACATAACATTCAGAAACCCTATCCCTACCTTCATGAATAACAAACAATAATATAAATAAATAATACCTTCAGAATAACCTAACCCCACCCAAATCCAACCCACCCCCACTCAACCGGCACCAACCACCCCACTCCCACCACCTCACCCCACCCCACCCCACCTCCAGAATCTAAAAACATCACCTCCCCAAATCAAATATTACTAACAGGATCCAGCCGAGTCTCTTCAACGTAGCCTAAGATAATAAGGACTGTACTTACCTCTCCTAAGAAATCATTAGCCCCATATCTGTCGTAGTCCCAGACGGTGATCTCTAGGGAGCGGGACTTGAGCTCGGCCCGTCGTAGTGGACTGTAGACGAAGGTTTGGTTCCACCGTGGATCAAGGCTGTTCGCTATGGCCTTCGTTCTGCGTTTAGACTTCTCGCTGATAAGAGGAAGGAAGGAGTGGTGTTAGTAATTGATGATAAGATGGAAGGAAGGAAGGAAGGAGTGGTGTTAGTGATTGTTGATAATAAGGAGGAAGGAAGGGAGGAAGGAAGGAAGGAAGGAAGGAGTGGTGTTAGTAATTGATGATAAGATGGAAGGAAGGAAGGAAGGAGATAGGAAGGAAGGAAGGAAGGAAGGAGAGGTGTTAGTGATGTTGATAATAGGAGAGGGAGGAAGGAAGGAAGGAGGAAGGAAGGAAGGAAGGAGAGGTGTTATTGATTGTTGATAAGAGGAAGGAAGGAAGGAAGGAAGAGAGGTGTTATTGATTGTTGATAAGAGGAAGGAAGGAAGGAAGGAGAGGTGTTATTGATTGTTGATAAGAGGAAGGAAGGAAGGAAGGAAGGAAGGAAGGAAGGAAAGTGTCAGTGATCTTATATTTTATTTAGGGACTACTTGTATATGGAGAGGAATGTCCGTTATATCGAGGGTCCGTTAAATGTGGAACCTCCATATAACGGACTATAGAGATAAAAATCCGTAATATCGAGGGTCCATTGGACGTGGAACCTCCATATAACGGACTATATAGAGATGAAAGTCCGTAATATCGAGGGTCCGTTAAATGAGATTCTTCAGCATGTCTTTGCTCACTAAATATGGATCATGAAACAAACTATTCAACACTTTCTTTATAAATAGGACCAATAAGGCGCTGGCCAGGCCTATAGCAGTGTGTGTGTCCTGAGGCAATATTCCTCCCCTGACTCATCCATTACCATGAGTTTTAATGGTGCAACAACTTCACCATATTGTTCTTAATGGTGCTGGTGTCACTATCATTACAGACACCACATCTTCTCCACCATCACCAACACTGTCCCATCACCCCCATCCCGGCTCTCCATCACCCTCTATCCCGGCTCTCCATCACCCACTTTCCTACCTCCTTTCTTCCCTCTCCTACCATCCTCTGTTCACCTCTTCTCCCACCCTCCTCATCCCCCACCTCTACCCTCTTCACACCCTCTCCTACCATCCACCATCACCCCTCTCACCTTCTATCAGGCAAGAGAAACATCTTCGCATAAGGGTTCCTCGAAGTTCCAGTTGACCGAGGCGGGAGGTCGACAGCGCTCACTATCGTCACCACGAGCTGTTGGTTTATCGGCTCGAACCATAACTTAAGCTGTTGTGGGAAGGAAATAAACGTTAGTGGGATTTGTAGAATGTTTCTTTGTTTTATAGTTTGGGTTTTTTTTGTTTTGCGATTATTTTATTGTATTATTGTATTGTTATTGTATGTTATTTATTCTATTTATTATACAACACGAACAATACAAGATTGACTTTTTATAAGATTTCATTTGTGATATACAGTAGGTCTATATATGTTTATTTATCAAAAGTTTTAACTTCATAAAGTATAAAAAATAATAAGTTTTCCCACAATGTTCGAATTCTTAAACATTTTTCTATTGTAATGTTTAGTACCTTTAACCCCTTATGTACGGGGTCCTCTCTGAGCTGTTGGTCAAATAAAATATTAAAAGTGGCGTCCCCGAAGTGAAAGAAATAATGCCGCAAATTCAGTAGTTCCCCTAAAAAATGGTTTTCTATGTCAGTGTGTTAGGGAGGAGGAGGAGGGGTAACTGCTAAAAAATATGTCCGTCTCTATCTCAAGTATTATTCCTCAACTACAATAGCTATTTTATTTTTGTTTTATTCCTCGACTCTGAAAAAAATTATGTTTTTTAATATGCGTTAATTGTTTATTATCCTTTACCAACAACATACAAAAACGTCACATACAATTTACTGTCGTCTAAAATTGGGTCACAGCTATGTTGATATTATAATGTATTACTACGCTTCAACAATTATGATATTACATATATTATAGGTTAGTACATAAACTAGTTATCAATAAATAAAGATCAATAAAGACACTTATCTTCTGCTGGGCGTGTCAACAAATAAAAATCTTGTTTATCAAAGAGCCTTCACTTAACTTTACCTCTAGGTGATAATGACAGAAATAAATAATCTTACTGTTTCACCTTAATTACATACAAAGATGTCAGCAATGAAAACCTGACCACCTGAGGGAGAGAGAGGACCTACCTGACGGAGAGAGAAGGCCTACCTGACGGGGAGAGAAGGCCTACCTGACGGAGAGAGAGGACCTACCTGACGGAGAGAGAAGGCCTCCTGACGGGGAAAGAGGACCACTGACGGAGAGAGGACCTACCTGGCGGGAGAGAGGACCTACCTGACGGGGAGAGAGGACCTACCTGACGGGAGAGAGGACTACCTGACGGAGAGAGGACCTACCTGACGGGAGAGAGGACCTACCTGACGGGGAGAGAGGACTTACCTGACGGGGAGAGAGGACCCACTGGCGGGGAGAGAGACCTACCTGACGGGGAGAGAGGACCTACCTGACGGGGGAGAGAGGGACTTACCTGACGGAGAGAGACCTACCTGGCGGGGAGAGAGAGGACCTACCTGACGGGGAGAGAGACCCACTGACGGGAGAGGACCTACCTGACGGGAGAGAGGACCTACCTGGCGGGGGAGAGAGAGGACCTACCACGGGAGAGAGGACTTACCTGACGGAGAGAGGACCTACCTGGCGGGAGAGAGGACCTACCTGACGGGAGAGAGGACCTACCTGACGGGGAGAGAGGACCTACCTGACGGGAGAGGACTCACCTGACGGAGAGAGAGGACCTACCTGGCGGGAGAGAGGACCACCTGATGGGGAGAGAGAGGACCTACCTGACGGAGAGAGGACCTACCTGACGGGGAGAGAGGACTTACCTGACGGAGAGGACCTACCTGACGGGGAGAGAGGACCTACCTGGACGGAGAGAGACCTACCTGACGGGAGAGAGACCTACTCAAGGAGAGGACCTACCTGACGGGGAGAGAGAGGACCTACCTGACGGAGAGAGAGGACCTACTGACGGAGAGAGGAGCCTACCTGACGGGAGAGAGGGACCACCTGACGGAGAGAGAGGACCTACCTGACGGAGAGAGGACCTACCTGACGGGAGAGAGGACCTACCTGACGGAGAGAGAGGACCTACCCAGAGAGAAGGCCTACCTGGGGAAGAGGACCTACCTGACGGAGAGAGGACCTACCTGACGGGAGAGAGGACCTACCTGACGGAGAGAGAGGCTACCTGACGGGGAAAGAGGACCTACCTGACGAGACCAGACGGGAGAGAAGGCCTACCTGACGGGGAGAGGACCTACCTGACGGGGAGAGAGAGAGGACCTACCTGACGGGAGAGGACTTACCTGAGGGAGAGAGGGCCTCCCTGACGGGGAGAGAAGGCTACCTGACGGGGAGAGAGGACCTACCTGACGGGAGAGAGGACCTACTGACGGGAGAGAGAAGGCCTACCTGACGGGGAGAGAAGGCCTACCTGACGGGAAAGAGGACCTACCTGACGGGAGAGGACCTACCTGACGGGGAGAGATGACCTACCTGACGGGGAGAGAGGACCTACCTGACGGGAGAGAGGACTTACCTGACGGGGAGAGAAGGCCTACCTGACGGGGGAGAGGAACTACCTGACGGGGAGAGAGGACCTACCTGACGGAGAGAAGGCCTACCTGACGGGAGAAGGCCTACCTGACGGGGAGAGAGAGGACCTACCTGACGGGGAGAGAGGACTACCTGACGGGAGAGAGGACCTGGACGGGAGAGAGGACCTACCTGACGGGGAGAGAGGACCTACCTGACGGAGGAGAGAGAAGGCCTACCTGACGGGAGAAGGCCTACCTGACGAGGAAAGAGGACCACCTGACGGGGAGAGAGGACCTACCTGACGGGAGAGAGACCCACCTGACGGGGAGAGAGAGAGGACCTACCTGACGGGAGAGAGGACCTACCTGACGGGAGAGAGGACCTACCTGACGGGAGAGAGGACCTACTGACGGGGAAAGAGGACCCACTGACGGAGAGAGAGGACCTACCTACGGGGAGAGAGGACCTACCTGAAGGGGAGAGAGGACCACCTGACGGGGAGAGAGGACCTACCTGACGGGGAGAGAGGACCTACCTGACGGGAGAGAGGACCTACCTGACGGGGAGAGAGGACCTACCTGACGGGGAGAGGACCTACCTGACGGGGAGAGGAGGACCTACCTGACGGGGAAAGAGGACCTACCTGACGGAGAGAGAGAGAGGACCTACCTGACGGGAGAGAGGACCCACCTGACGGGGAGAGAGGACCTACCTGACGGGAGAGAAGGCCTACCTGACGGGGAGAGAGGACCTACCTGACGGAGAGAGGACCTACCTGACGGGGAGAGAGGACCTACCACGGGAGAGAGGACCCACCTGACGGGGAGAGAGGACCTACCTGACGAGGAAAGAGGACCTACCTGACGGGAGAAGGCCTACCTGACGAGGAAAGAGGACCTACCGACGGGGAGAGAGGACCTACCTGACGGGGAGAGAGGACCTACCTGACGAGGAAAGAGGACCTACCTGACGGGGAGAGAGGACCTACCTGACGGGAGAGAGGACCTACCTGACGGGGAGAGAGGACCTACCTGACGGGAAAGAGGACCTACCTGACGGGAGAGAGGACCTACCTGACGGGAGAGAGACCTACCTGACGGAGGAAAGAGGACCTACTGAAGGGAGAAGGCACCTGGAGAGGAAAGAGGACCTACCTGACGAGGAAAGAGGACCTACCTGACGGGGAGAAGGCCTACTGACGAGGAAAGAGACCCACCTGACGGGGAGAGAGGACCTACCTGACGGGAGAGAGGACCTACCTGACGGGGAGAGAGGACCTACCTGACGGGGGAAAAGAGGACCCACCTGACGGAGAGAGAGGACCTACCTGACGGGGAGAGAGGACCTACCTGAAGGGAGAGGAGGACCACCTGACGGGAGAGAGGACCCACTGACGGGGGAGAGAGAGGACCTACCTGACGGGGGAGAAGGACCACCTGACGGGGAGAGAGGACCTACCTGACGGGGAGAGAGGACCTACCTGACGGGGAGAGAGGACCTACCTGACGGGGAGAGGACCTACCTGACGGAGAGGGACCTACCTGACGGAGAGAGAGAAGGCCTACCTGACGGGGAGAGAGGACCTACCTGACGGAGAGAAGGCCTACCTGACGAGGAAAGAGGACCTACCTGACGGGGAGAGAGGACCTACCTGACGGGGAGAGAGGACCTACCTGACGGAGAGAGAGGACCACTGACGGAGAGAGAGGGACCTACCTGACGGGGAGAGAGGACCTACCTGAGGGGAGAGAGACCTACCTGACGGAGAGAGAGACCTACCTGACGGGGAGAGAGGGACCTACCTGACGGGGAGAGAGAGGACCTACCTGACGGAGAGAAGGCCTACCTGACGGGGAGAGAGGGACCCACTGACGGGGAGAGGACCCACCTGACGGGGAGAGAGGACTACCTGACGGGAGAGAACCTACCTGACGGAGAGAGAAGGCCTACCTGACGGGAGAGAGGACCTACCTGACGGAGAGAGAGGACCTACCTGACGGGAGAAGGCCACCTGACGAGGAAAGAGGACCTACCTGACGGGGAGAGGACCTACCTGACGGGGGAGAGGACCTACCTGACGGGAGAGAGGACCTACCTGACGAGGACCACCTGACGGGAGAGAGGACCTACCTGAAGGGGAGAGAGGACCTACCTGACGGGGGAGAGGACCTACCTGACGGGGAGAGAGGACCTACCTGACGGGGAGAGAGGACCTACCTGACGGGGAGAGAGGACCTACCTGACGGGGAGAGAGGACCTACCTGACGGGGAGAGAAGGCCTACCTGACGGGGAGAGAGGACCTACCTGAAGGGAGAGAGGACCACTTGACGGGAGAGGACCTACCTGACGGAGAGAGAGGACCTACCGACGGGGAGAGAACTACCTGACGGAGAGAAGGCTACCTGACGGGGAGAGAGGACCTACCTGACGGGGAGAGACCTACCTGACGGGGAGAGAGGACCTACCTGACGGAGAGAGGGACCTACTTGACGGGAGAGAGGACCTACCTGACGGGGGAGAGAGAAGCCTACCTGACGGGGAGAGGACCTACCTGACGGAGAGGACCTACCTGACGGGGAGAGAGGACCTACCTGACGGAGAGAGAGGACCTACCTGACGGAGAGAAAGGACCTACCTGACGGAGAGAAAG